GAGTTTGCATATACAGAGATGAAAAGGGCTTACTCATCCAGTGGGGTGAATCACTGTTGTTGGGGTCATTTTTCCATTCTCAGTCATCAGTTCATTGGTGTTCATACTACGCAGTGACCTTCATATACTACCCATGTCTTTTAAAGGTATTGCCAGTATAATTCAACAAATAATAATTGATAACTGTGCAAAGAATGCTGTAGTGCACATTCTAGGGAAGTATTCAATTATTGCTGGGTTATTAGTTATAGAGATTTTTTTGAGGGGGAATCCTTGGGTTCTACATATATAAAAAACAAACAAACAAGTTTTCTAGCTACTTTTTGGTTACATATTAGTTTTCCAGGGCCACCATAACAAGTACCACAGACTGGGTTGCTTAAGCAGAAATTTCTTTTCAGTAACAGAGCCTAGAAGTCCGAGTTGATTTCTTCTGAGGCCTCTTTCCTTGGCTGGTAGACAGCTGTCTTCTCTCTGTGTTTGCATGATTTTCCTCTGTGCTTGTCTGTGTCCTGAAATCTTATAAAGACACATATTGGAATAGGGCTCACCCCATTGCCTTCACCACACCATTTAGAACATTCTTGAATCATGTTAGTACTAAACATTAAATTATTGAGGATTTTATAAATCAAAACTAAGAAATAAAAGTAGATAAACATATAAATAGTATTCATTTTAACCCCAATGTGGATTAAAAGATTTTTATTTAATAATAGCATGTATTTTTGAAATCCTTTAATAGTGTACTCTTTGGTAATTAAAGAAAAATTCTGAGCAGTTTATTTCAGCTGACTTAGCTAGAAGTTTTCCAAATGTAGATTTCTTTAAACATATTTAAAGTAATTTTTTTACTTGCTACTTTATTGGATGTTTGAGAAACATCAAAAATATGCAGCACTTGATAATCATGAGATTGGAAATCTGTCTGCAAGACAGATTCCTCAGGAAAGTGGTGAGGATCTATCTGTGTTACAGGTATTTCACCATGTGTTTGCACCAAGTATACTTTGCAGTTGGTGAGGAAAAGGTGCTGCGAACATCTTTCATCCGTAAGATGAAGGGCACCATTGACCATTCTGTCAATATCTGGCTTCTGGTTACATACGTGCGTTCACGTTATAGAAATCTTATTGATCTGTACATTTGTGATCTGTGTACGTTCTCCTATATATGTCACATATCAAAATCTACATTAAAGATAGTGTATAGTGTTAACAGCATTATCATAAGTAGAACTCATACATTTAAACATGTTCATTTTCTGTGTTCTAGAATGACATTGTTTTTATTATTTTGGTACTCATTTATATTAATTTCCCTACTTGAATGGGCAGTTTTTATAATTATAAACATTGTATACCAATAACTGATTTTCTCTTAATGTGGGAAAATGTTTCTAAATAGTTTTCAGGATTTAATACCAGCATTTAACCAGCTTAATTTTGTGGTACAAAATCAAAGTTTGAAAGTACCATTTGAATACTTTAAGAGTATTTGAATTTGCTTTTGATCTGTAGCTTTTATTGTTCCTGGAACTATATTTATTTTTTAAATAATGGTAGCTATGAGATTTTAATGTTAGTTTTGTAGATTTTAAAAGGCTAGTCTTTTCAAATATATTTTCTCAGAAATCCAAGCAACATCTGTTAACTTTTTGAGATCAACAGAACCCAGATTTTCAAATCAATAGTTTCCCCAAACTCTCGTGTCTTTGGAGCAGTTGTATGAATAGAATGTTTTTGGACAAGCATCTGCTTTTGTGGTGTCTTTGTCTTTCTGACCTCCGTCAGGTTGACAAAGTAAAAGAGTACCTTTCCCTTCTCCAAACAAGGCCTCGTAAAGGAAAACCTAACCGCTGAGGGAGATTTTATGCTGTTTTAATCCGTTTGCCCAAGTACTTTGGTGTAATCCAGTGTTTTCTAGTAATGGTAGAAATGTATTTTGCTTAAGACATAATTCCATTTTGGAGAAGACGCATGTGGCACCTCTAAGTTACACTTCTAACTCAGTTATAACTGAGCTATGCTAGCTCCGCTTCCTCCTGTGTAAACCTCATCTCCAGCCCAAACCCCCCTTGCTCCATCTGCTTCTGTTCTGGGCTTCTTTCCCTGAGCATCACAGCCCCCCTGTCTGCAGCACCACCACCCTGCAATGCCTTGCTCTGATTTTCTTTTAAGGTCAGATGCTACTCAAATGCTACTCACCCCTCTTTCTGCCCCTTAAATCAAGACCAATTGTTCGCCCTTGCCGGTCTGGCTCAGTGGATAGAGCGTCGGCCTGTGGACTGAAGGGTTACAGGTTTGATTCCAGTCAAGGGCATGTACCTCGGTTGCAGGCTTCTCCCCCAGGCCCTGGTTGGGGCACGTGCAGCAGGCAGCCAACCAATGTGTTTCTCTCACATCAATATTTCTCTCTGTCTTTCCCTCTCTCTTCCATTCTCTCTAAAAAAAAAAAAAAAATCAATGGAAAAATATCCTCGGGTGAGGATTAAAAAAAAACACAGCAATAATTGTTCCTCCCCTGTTTGTTCCTATTGCACCTGTCACCTAACTATCATAGCAAATAGACACATGGCAGTCTCAGTGTTTACTTACGTGGCCGTGGAGTCAGGGCTCTGTGTGTTTATCCATAGTGCCCAGCAGTGTGAGCATTCAAGAAACATTTGTTGAATAAAATTGAGGTGTTTGGACAGGCTGGGCTTATAAATGCCAGTTTTTTTTCAGGGAAGGCATTTTCTCAAAAGTTTACTGATTAGAAGTTCATGTGGCCATTTCCTGAGTATTCAGGAAAATACATATAATATGAATATACTGCTCTTCTTGGCTGTCACCTGCTTGGTGATAAAATGCCAAACTTTGTACTTTTCAACATTTGGGGTATAGTGGAAGATTTGATTAGGGTCAAGAAACCTTTGACCAAAAGGAAGTTTATAAATTGCTTAAAGATTTCATGTGTTATGATATTCTTTATTAGGGATTAATTGAGAGTAGTATACAATTGCTATTTCTCCTGTCGTGGTGAAATAGCCAAGAATTAAATATTGTGATATTCATTAAATTGCTAGTTAGCATGGAATTCTGAGAGAAAAGAAGATTGATATGATAGTTGGTTTAGATCACGTGACATACTCCTTTAGTATTATACTAGTTTGGACAGCAAAAAGCTTCCCTTAAAACAAGTGTCCTTGAAGAACTTAAAAAAAGAAAGTATAAGATTGACCTCTCACCATCCAGATTCTTTGTTTTTGAGACAAAATTATATATAGCCAATCTTTTTCAATTACAAAGCTGGTAGATGAAATCACAATTGATCCTTTTGACAATGTTTGAAAGGTTGTGTGTTTTTTTTTCTCATTTGACATGCAGCAAGGACATATGGGCGAAGGAGAGGTAACATTATTGTTTCTAACTTTTGAATGTATAGTTGTATTTGGAGAGGATCCAAGTTTGCTCAATTTCTAACCCTCATGGGGCAGCGGGTGGGTGAATGAAACCTAGGCTTGATTCATAGATACTTTATTCATTGTAGTTAACATTATAGACATTCTCGTTTTAAGGAGTCAAAATGGTAGAATTTGGATTTGAACCAAAATAATTTTCCTATATTATATTATAAAGTCAACTTATTTATATATAAAGATTTGTTTCCTTTTTTTCTTTCTAAAATGAATTTCTTAGAAAAAAGTTAAGACTCTTTAAAAAAGAAAATACAGCCCCAATCATCTCAAATACCTGAGTATATTAGAAGTTCAATTATACTTGAATACCTTGTCTACTTTTTTTTTAACCAAGTCAGCAAAATGCATTTGGTTTAAAAGGTGATTAGCTATATAAGTAGCTAATCATATACATTTGAAACATTGGGGGAAAGCTCTAGAAATTTTAGAGAATTTTAAAGAGTCAGCTCTGCTTCAAAATGTGATTTTTGAAGATCATTCAGGAAATAGCCTCCAATTTTATAGTCATTTTTTAGTCTTCATTCTATAACTCTTTGAGCTGTGATTTTACAGGATAACAAATATACTGTTATTATTTGTGTTTAGTAGTGAAAGGTGGAAGGAGGAGAAGTGTGGCAACCAAAGGACATTGGAATGTTTTCGTGAAGGAAGAGCACTTGAGAGCATTTCTGCAGGACCCATTAACGAGTTCCTTGTGCAGGACCTAGACGTGATTGGCAGCCTGAGCAGTGGCCAGTGCGGGGGAGATTCTGCACTTACTTGTCGCTCTGTGTTTTGCTCATGATTTCAAAGTTTGAATTTTGCTGTCAGGTCAATATGGGAAGAATACAAACACTGGCATCTCTGGTCTTTTCTGCTTATATATTCTAGATAGGATTTTCAACATCAAACTTAATGACTAGTTGTAGAATCAGATAGCACTGTAGCAGATGATTACTCAACTGAAAGAAAATACGTCTTTAGCATGCCTAAAAATCTCAAATTCTCTTAGACCAGACAATGAAGTTAGGTAATAGCATTAAGTGGGTTTAGTTGTATCCCATTAGTTAATGTAACTAAGATGAGTGCTCACTTTAAAAATCAACACGTTCATTTTAAGGACATTCTTAGAGGAGGTTGTGCAGGCCATATTATTGTTGTTTTCTTTAAAGTTTTAGTGATCTAGCATCTGACAGTCGAATCTAATACTCAGTGTACATGTCTAGGTTGCCAGTGGCCATGGGGCCCTGCCAAGGCACTGCTGTGCGCTGCCAACTGCTTTCAAAGGAGTGCTCTCTCCTGCTGCACTTCCATCCACCTCACTGGATCCCAGAGGGATAACTGAGCAGCCCTCTATTTAACCATGTCCTTTCTCTCTGACTCAGTTGGGACTTGAAGGTGATGGGAGTTCAAGAGCATATCGCAGTGGTGCTATTTGTTATTCAGTGAGAAAAGGAAAAGCCGCAGTTTTATTGAATCAGCTGCTTGCCTTGTTTGTTGTGCAAGATAACCAGTGGCCTGGAACATTTTCTGTTAGCTTTCTTCCTGCTTTCTATTCCAGGTCAGTCTTCACTGTTTCCAATGGAAGATGGATTTTTGGATGATGGCCGCGGGGATCAACCTCTTCATAGTGGCCTGGGTTCACCTCACTGCTTCACTCACCAGAATGGAGAAAGAGTGGAGCGATATTCTCGCAAGGTGTTTGTGGGCGGATTGCCTCCTGACATCGATGAAGGTATATTTAGAAAGAAGCATCCAGAGCCCAGTGCCCAGGCTGTGGCACACAGTAGGAAACTCATAGATAGAGGTCACTCTTATGATAACAACAATCTTACCTGGCTCCAGGTATTCTGATTTGATTGCACTGTTCTCTTTTTGTATCTTCCTATCGCAGCCTATACCATTAGTTCACAGAAGGAAGGGGTTGGGGGCAGGACTTTAGGAACCAGCAGAAGCAAATGATTAGACGAAAGGAAAAGGAGCAGACATCACGGAAAACTCAAGGATTCTGTTGAGGGAAGACATAAGTGCTAACTGCATTTTTGTCTGTGTGTGCTGCCTTGGCCAAATGCAGTTATGTATTTTCCAAAAAGATGTGGACTCTCACTGTGGTAGCTGGTGCAGGCCGGAGTCTTTAGTGCATGCCACAGTTGATGAGGAAATGTGATATTGGTGAGTAACACAACACCAAGTGGGCAGAGATGAACTTGACCAGGTGATCAAGCTTCACATGCCCAATTAGGACAGGATGGCGTGGCATTATAAAGGTGGGAATCCTGTTTAGAATGCACAGCATGCTTATGGTCACAGGGAAACAGTACGGACAGGTGAGCATTGTCTACACAATAACTGGCCTGCGTACTTTAAAACTGTCAAGCACGTAAAAGACAAGAAAGAATGAGGATCTGTTCCAAATTGAAGAAGATGATGCCCTAGGGCAGTGGTCGGCAAACTCATTAGTCAACAGAGCCAAATATCAGCAGTACAACAATTGAAATTTCTTTTGAGAGCCAAATTTTTTAAACTTAAACTATATAGATAGGTACATTGTTATTAACTTAATTAGGGTACTCCTAAGGCTTAGGAAGAGCCACACTCAAGGGGCCAAAGAGCCGCATGTGGCTCGCGAGCCGCAGTTTGCCGACCACGGCCCTAGGGACATGCTGTCCAAATACAGCACGTGTTCTGGATCAGAAGGGAAAAGAGAGATGCTGTTGGGATAAAGTCTGTGATGTGGGCATTGTATCAGTACTGACTTCCTGATCGGGAGTGCTGTGTGGTAGTACATAAGGAAGTGACCTCGTTGAGGAGGTCACAACAGTTGCATTATGGGATATAGAGCATCATGTCAGAAAAAGATGATAGGTGGTGGGTAGACAGGTAAATAGCTTGACTCATGTAAAGGTACAGGTAGGAGGAAGGGAAGAGGCAATTGTGCACAATATTAACAGTTGGGGAGTCTAGATGAAGGGATGCGGGAGTTGTTTTTTGTTTGTTTTTGTTTTTTGAGGGGGGACTTTTTTGTACTGCTATGTAAATAGGAGATTTGAAACTGTTTTTTTCTAAACTAATTCCTAAAAATGATCACAAAAATATTGAAATCTATTTTGCTTTGTTGTTTATTAGATGAGATCACAGCTAGTTTCCGTCGCTTTGGCCCTTTAATTGTGGATTGGCCTCATAAGGCAGAGAGCAAATCCTATTTTCCTCCTAAAGGTAATTCTCAAGATTCAATATACCATGTACATTTGTCCTTTTATTGTTTAATGTTTACCATTTTCATAAATGTTTGCCTTCAGTGTAAAATTTCCCATTGTTAAACTTCTATTTTCCCAAATGCATCTTTAAAATTTCTACCTAATATGTTACTTTCAATTCAAATTTAATTTTACTCTAAAAGATGTTTCAAGATATCAAACTGAACTTAATGTTGATATCAGACTTTAGGTATGAATATTGTTATAATTAAAAAGAAATTGAACTCCTTTCCCCTTCATTAGTTTTAGTTTATATTTCCTTTCTCTTGAAATGTTGCAAAAAAATAATAATAATAATTAGGAGAACGTCTACGCCTTTCCCCCCCTTTTCACCAGGCTATGCATTCCTGCTATTTCAAGATGAGAGCTCTGTCCAGGCTCTCATTGATGCGTGTATTGAAGAAGATGGGAAGCTCTACCTGTGTGTCTCAAGTCCCACGATCAAAGACAAACCAGTAAGTGCATTCCAGCATGAGAATAGCTTCTGGTTTCTGCCTCCATCTCTACTCTGTTTGAAAAACCCACAGCATCTTGATGTTTCTATTCATTGACACGTTTGTAAGTAGACTGGGAGTGAAGTTTTGTTACTATTGTCAAGCTCCTAACATTGACATTCTGTATATTTGTGCATATTATTTGGCCATTGAACTTTTGATTAATTAAAACATTGGCAAATCTTTACTATTAAAAGACTTCACCTGATAATGCATTTGATAAAGTAGCCGAGTTTCCTCTGAATAATAGATTTAGCTTCTAATAGGCATCACATTTTCACCTTTGTTCAGTTTACTCTTAAAAATGAAATGCAGGGTTAGGATACACTATTTTTAAATATTTTCTAGTTTTACAGCTTTATTGCTTTTAATGATGTGAATTATTGTTTTAAAAATATAAAATACTCTGCAACAGTTTTAAACATTTTCCCCCCACAAATTGTACTGAGAATGAGACATTTGGGTTTGCACACTCCCCAGGTGCAGATTCGGCCTTGGAACCTCAGTGACAGTGACTTTGTGATGGATGGTTCACAGCCTCTTGACCCACGAAAAACTATATTTGTTGGTGGTGTTCCTCGACCATTACGGGCAGGTATGATTAAACAAAAAGACCTTCCTCACCCTTTAGCATAAGATGTATTTTATAAAGGTTTCTCGGGATAAATTCTCCCTTAAGCAGTTGAGTTAATGTCTAAGAGTGAGAGTTCTGGAATCAAAGTGTCTGGGTTTGAATTCATGTGCTCTGCTCTCAGTTAATAGTTGAGTGACCTTGGACAATTGCTTAATTTCTCTAATTCTCAATGTCCTCATCTGTCAAAGGGAGTAGTAAGTGTATCTCCTTTCTATAGAGCTGATTTGAGGGTTAAGTGAGATAACCAATGCAGGATGCTTAGTGCAGTTTCTTATAATGCCCATGACCATCACTCTCATCATCGTCGGAAAATAAACGACGCCCTTCAAGAACAGATGCTGGATTGCGATGTTTAGTGTTTGTTTCCCATGTCCTCGTTTGCTTATCAGCTACTTGCTGGGCTCTGAAATATAATATGGGTCCCAGCAGTGTATCGTGTTGTTAGCATAGTGCTAACAGAAGAAATTTCATCCCCATCACCTCATTTGAGGTTTGGTAGTATAAGTACGATAAAGATCAGAAAATGAACAAGAATGCAGTTTCAGAATTGTAACATATAATGGAGAAAGTGATACATTCGTTATTTCAAGTTTTTATAAGAGAAATTGGCAAATAGCTAGCCTGTGGGGAAAGGTCACAAGATTTTGATGGAAAAAGCCAGAAGGGCCTCCAAACAAAGAGCTTACCAAATCAGTTTTCTAGTGTTGAAATGATTATTTATACTAAGCCAGACCTTGTTAACCAGTAAATATATGGCAGCAACGTGGTATAGACCATGGTGCCAAGCCCAGCAGTGCCACTCAACCGCCTGTGACCTTGGACTGAGTGATCATCTTCTCCGTGCGTCAGTTTCCCCAAAAAATTACTGCCTACTTCATAGGGATGCTGCGGAGATGAAAAGAGAACATAAGTAAAATATCTAGCAGGCCCTTGCCCTTAGTTAAAAGATAAATGGACAACTGGTTATAATAACGCTTGATTTGAATAATTATAATGACATGAGCTCAGAGTGCAGATGAGCTGCTTTTGATGAAACCTTTGGTGAGCCAGCTGAGTCTTCCTGATTTCAGATCCCCTCTCTGCGTCTTTCTTATTTAGTGGAGCTTGCCATGATAATGGATCGGCTGTATGGAGGCGTGTGCTATGCTGGGATCGATACCGACCCTGAGCTGAAGTACCCAAAAGGAGCCGGGCGAGTCGCCTTCTCTAATCAACAGAGTTACATAGCTGCTATCAGTGCCCGCTTTGTTCAGCTGCAGCATGGAGAGATAGATAAACGGGTAAGTCCTAGACTGCGTTCTGGAAAGTTCTAGAGATGGCCCTCTAACTGTGTCATTACCAGATTGGATGGGGAAATTTTATATGACCATAAATCGACAGCTGACAGTTATGCCTGTAGGACCTCTAGGTGTATGTTCTATAATACATGTAGGAATTTCCTAGGAATTGCTTCTGTATCCTTGTTTGAGTAGCCTAACCAGAACCTTGTATCAGTTTACTTATCAATTTAATTTTTCCTAAGCTATCACCTACATCCATTCATTTCTTCAGTTAGTCAATCATTCAATATTTACCAAATCCTTCCTGCTATGTTTTAGCAAGTATACAAACATGAATGTCCTTGAGGTCTCCTGACATTTTTTTTTCATCCTGGGACATTATGAGGACCTTAGTGAGCCCTGCTTTCCAGTGCACTATGTGACAAATGATTGAATAAATTTACTTCTAGGTCTGCATGTCTTAGAAATAGTTCATTATAACAGATTAAGTAGAAGAAGTCACAGTCTCTCCATCTGTGGCCTGTCCTGCCTGGAGCGAGGTGGGAGCTGTCAGCATTGTTTCCATCACCTCACATTCCTCTTCATGGGGTTTCTCTTCTGAATCAAAGGGCTGGAGAAAACCACAAAGATAGCTTTGCCCTCTACTTTCTAATGTATTTGAAACGTTCCATTATGTATCTTATTTCTTTGCATTCACAGATTCATTTCTTATCTTTGTATTCCATGCGTTCAACAAATGTTTTCGTGCCAAGGACAAGAAGTCCCTGTCCTCGGGAGTTCATGGTCTGGTAGATAGTGTGGCCTGTGCCGACGGCCAGTAGGCAAACGGTTTGTTCCTAGTTTGTGCTGAGATAAGAATGTACATAGAGTGTGAAGCGGCCGCACTGGGGAGCAGTGTTTAGTTCAGCTGACTTTTTTCATAGACAGACCCTGTGGATGTGGAGGAAACAATGCGTTGATTTGCATTCATGTGGGCTCCTTGTTTCCTGGCAGACGGCACCTTTCTGAGGCCTGGCTGGGATGCCCAGCGCTCTGAGGCGTTGTGCTCCCAAGGATGGGTAGATGTGCTCTTCTCGAGTCGGCATGTAGAATCCACCCAGGCAGTAGTGGCTTACACAAACTGTTCATGCTTCATGTCATGTATATTCTGTGTCAGAGGCAGTACTGACTGTAAGGTCATAGTGTCGTCATGCTGACCAGCTTAAAGAGAAGGGTGCACATTCTGTTGTGAATATGGAGGAAGGTGCAGTGTTAGCCACAGTGACAGGCCTCCTGTGTTTGAGTCACACTGAAAAATGAGTACATCTGAGTAAACAGTCTCTGGCTCCACTGCTTCATTCCAACACAGGTGTCAGAGTTGTGAGGTTAGTCATTAGAAGTTAGACTTAATTTTTACTCCTCTGATCCAGTTCTCCGACCAGTGCTCTTGCTCTCTGTAGAGTTCTGGCGTGGCCTCCTAGTGCTCTAGTTCTGCCTGCCCCTCTGTCTCCCCCGTCACCCTTCTCCTGTTGATCCCGGCTCCCCTTTGTCAGAACTGGATGGCACCGGTGTTAACGACAATCTGGTATAAGGGAGTTTCAACCACGAGTCCAAGACTAAAAACAACCACGTTATTCCCACTGGCGAATTAATAGCCAGGTTATTTTTAATACTCGAGAGGCTCAAATAACAGGCAGCCTATTGAACACTGGAGCGGGCCCAGTTCCTAAATGCACCTTTGGCTTTTAGACTCAAGTAAACCCTTCCTACTGACAGGAGGGTGCAGGGCTGGAGATTGTGAGTAAAGTAGCTGCATGTGGGTTCCCAGAGTAGCAGCTTTGCAATTCTAATCAAGATGTGTGCCCTGTGAACAGAAGCCACAGCCAGGCTTGATTACCACTCAGAAGCCGCCATGGAAGTCAGGGTTTGACTAGCGAAGGGCTATTTTGTGGAGCCGGAAGCTCTTAGTTGGGTTTGTTTAAACTATAATTCCACATATAATGAACAACCAAGTCCACTAATTAAAATGCTGGTGTGTGTCTGTGAAAATTCTCCCGGGGGTTTAATTTCATAATGCTCAGCTGCCTTCACTTTATTTCTGTGGAATTCTTTTTGCCTTTGAAAAGTGATTTAATATGCCAAAAATGTAAAATGATGGGTATAAAAACCTGACCGGGTTCTTAAAAGATGGACTCTCTTAATTTCAATATGAGAATGTGGGGCATCTTGGCAGAGCCGTTCAGACAGTGATGGAAATGCGTGCGCACAGGAAGGAAGAGTGGCCTGGCGGTGTCACAGAAAACGTAACCTCCTTCCTTTTATTTTGGTTGCAGGTGGAAGTGAAGCCATACGTCTTGGATGATCAGCTGTGTGATGAATGTCAGGGGGCCCGTTGCGGGGGAAAGTTTGCTCCATTTTTCTGCGCTAATGTTACCTGTCTGCAGTATTACTGTGAATATTGCTGGGCTGCTATTCATTCTCGTGCTGGCAGGGAGTTCCACAAGCCCCTGGTGAAGGAGGGCGGGGACCGTCCCCGGCATATTTCATTCCGCTGGAACTAGAGAACTACAGTGCTCATTTTCAGGCCTCAGAATAAGTGCACTCTTCTGTTCATTCTGCCCCTCCTCAGCCTCTTCACGCTGGCATGCCCTCTGTAGCAGTCTAACTTCACAATAGTATAATGAAAGAATGGCCTATACTAGAGGTGTTTTGTAGATTCTTGTGTCACTGAAAACAATATGTATGAGCTCCTTTTTCCTATCGCCATCATGTTGCCTGGAAGTTTTATACTCTTGCTGGAGAGCAAGAGGATCCATACTTCCCGCAACATTTTCTTAGAGGAGAGAGAGAGATTAAGAGAGAAATGAAATGATAGAGTATTTTGGGTTTTTAATTAAATTATTGTTAATAATATAACATATAAGAATACTTTTATTAAAATAACCATGCAACAATAACACTATTAGTCTATCCTGACACAGTTTGTCTCCCGGGAAACGCTTCTGCCTTTTTCTTTCTTTTCTTTCGTCTTGTTGCCTCTCTCTGTTTCCATCCCCTTTCTGTTCTTTTACAGGCAGGGGAGGACGTTAACAATTACTAACAGGAAATAGCATGTTAAAGCGAACGCAGATGCATGAGCAAGATTGAAGCAGCCTCTCACTCACTGAAGGGTTCAGAGGCCGAATCTAATTTCATTCTGCCTCGGAGTTACTTCCACATCAGAAGCAGTCAAGTAGGCAGATCTAGGTTTATTTTCTTTTAAACAATTGTGAACATGTAGAATGTAAAAATTGGGGAAATTGACTACTGAGGGGAGTGCACTTATTTATTTTTAAACTTACTTATCTGGTCACAGCCCTAGGAAACCTACCAAAGCTAGAGTTCACGACAACTGGTGGAAAAAGTAGCATTTCCTCTCCCGAAGGACAAGTAGCTACATTTTATTTTTGATGTTCTAGATAAACTCATATAACATATAAGAATACTTTTATTAAAATAACCATGCAACAATAACACTATTAGTCTATCCTGACACAGTTTGTCTCCCGGGAAACGCTTCTGCCTTTTTCTTTCTTTTCTTTCGTCTTGTTGCCTCTCTCTGTTTCCATCCCCTTTCTGTTCTTTTACAGGCAGGGGAGGACGTTAACAATTACTAACAGGAAATAGCATGTTAAAGCGAACGCAGATGCATGAGCAAGATTGAAGCAGCCTCTCACTCACTGAAGGGTTCAGAGGCCGAATCTAATTTCATTCTGCCTCGGAGTTACTTCCACATCAGAAGCAGTCAAGTAGGCAGATCTAGGTTTATTTTCTTTTAAACAATTGTGAACATGTAGAATGTAAAAATTGGGGAAATTGACTACTGAGGGGAGTGCACTTACTTATTTTTAAACTTACTTATCTGGTCACAGCCCTAGGAAACCTACCAAAGCTAGAGTTCACGACAACTGGTGGAAAAAGTAGCATTTCCTCTCCCGAAGGACAAGTAGCTACATTTTATTTTTGATGTTCTAGATAAACTCTATCCTAATTTACTAACACTCATCAGGTGTCAGCCTTTGCTCTCCATTTTGACGTTACCTCAAGGATGTCCTTTTGATTTTGTGTTAAAATACACTTGTAGCCAAAACTGGAAGACAAAAATCAATACACTAATTGGCTGCTGATTGGCTTACTTTTAGATTTAAAGTTACTCTGGGTATCCTGTAATTTAGTTGTAACATAGAAAATTTAAAAAAAATTAAAAAAAAAAAGTTGAGTAGTTGCAAAGTGTTCTGCACTGTTGAACTAAGTAACTGTGTGAATCTGCAAAGGTCCGTATGTTTATCTTCCTCTTCCTATAAAATAAGATACCGTTACAGTTTCAGAACTGAGCATGGGACATAGTCAGTGTTTGAAGTGCCAACTTCGTCGAGTAATGCATGCTTTATTATAAATAAAATCCTAGCTCGGAAAGGCATTCTTATGTGTGGACAGTATGCTTCAGGGGTGAATTTAAAATAGTCTCTTGAAGCCCTGCTCTTGGAAGTAACTTTGATTTTAATTGACTTTATCTTATTAAATGCCCTATCCACCATTAAAAAGATTATCATCAGTGTGCAAAACGTTTTAAAAAAACATAATGGCAATCTTGCTAGTTGTGCTACCTAACAGTACCATCTTGGATCCTTCAAAACCAAAGACTTGCCCCAGCACTACGGTGGAACCACCTGGCTGATGCCCCTACCGATTGTCTTTAGGAAAAGCAGTCCTTTATTTTAATACAGGCTTTAATGAACGCTATACCTGTGCAGTTCCAAAGGTCAAAATGGAGGCATTTGCTGTCTAGTAGTCCAACACAGAGCGGGAGCTGCTTTCAGGGCCCCCTGCGAAGGCTGGAAGCAGCCACGTGGATGGAGGGTGCTCTCGTGTAGCTGGTCAGGGACTTTCTTTTCTCCTGAACTACATAATCCTAAGTGGAATGTTCATTTGCCTCTTTTTCTTCTTTTCAACGCTTGTAGGCGTCTTGGGGTGTGCTATTGTGCTGTTCCTACTCAGTAAACAGGTGTGATGAGTTAACAAGAAATAACACTGTTTGAGAACTAGCTTTGAATAATAATTTTTCCCTTTGTACATGACCTGCTGAATTTCGGTACAGTGTTTTGTAGCTAACTTATTTTGTCATGCACATAATGTATATTTGTTATGCACTACTTTTGTATATCTTGTTTTTCCAACAGTGAACATTTTTAGGCACACTTTTCACTGACGGGATATCTCTTTATGCAATACCTCAATTTTTCATATTGCAAAGAGTAGCTTTTTGTACTTTTATTACTGAGAGATCTTCATATACTTCATTTTTTAATATAAATAATTTTAATAAATTTTATTTTCTTATATTCTGCTTTTTATACATTTCAGTGCTCTGCATACATTTTGAATTATGGATGTTGTGCACTGGCAATGCTATTTTAGAGTCTGCAGAAAAGAGAAAGCATGTTGCTTAAACATCCTTCCCAGCACCAGCTGTTGGTGGACCTAGAATTTAAGAGATAGTCTATGTGAAGTCACAAATTAATGAAAAAAATTCGCATGAAAATGACAGATAACACTGTAGTTCCTAAAAAAAAAATTAAATGCATAAGCATAGGGTAGAAATTTAAAATGACAAAATTGTCTACAGCTTCTTACTAAGTTTTTAAAATTATTCATAACGCAGACATTTTTTGGTGAATGTTTAGCCATTTTTAATATTAATAAATTGATGTTAAGTGTTTGATTCAGAGATGTCTGCTCTTTTAAATTATATATAAAGGAAAAAACCAGCCTGCCGTGGGACAGGTGTGTAATGTTAGTATGCATGACTAATGTAAGAAATCGCTATTCTACTAATATTTACTTGTGATTGTGTGACAAGTGTGTTTACAGATTATTTGGTTACACTTCAATTTACAGGGCATAAACAATTATTATCTATTACTCTGAACTTTATCGATTACATGTCCTTCAGATTACATGGGATTGTAGTTGGGAGTTACCATGTAACTCAAAACATAATTAACATGTAATTAGTTTACAGATTTTAGGGTATCACTTCAATTTACCAAGCATGTAGTTCTAGCGCACTAGCATGGCACCAGCCATGTACTTACAATGTAGTTACAGAGTAATTACATGGTTATTTTTGCAATGTAAAATAAAGTGTTTCTGATTATTTTCTATGTAAAGGAGCCCTCTCCCTCCTCCTTCTGGTCCCCACGCTTTGGTATAATATATATACTTCTCCATACACAGACCTCTGCAGAATGCAAAATAAAACTTGCAGTGAATGAATTTAGCATTTGATGAGAGTGCTGTTGGAAAGACTTGATAACTCACCCCTTTTGTTTTGAAGAGTTGAATCTTCTGTTAAAAGGTGATTTGAAACTTGAATGTGATGAATTGTGGCAAGTTAACTTCAAGTTATGTGCAATACTTATTTCAAACTTTTGAAAGATCTTTGCAGTGTAATTCTTTGTTTTTAATTGCAGACATTTAAAAATGTCATTTTCTACTGTTAAGAGTAATCCTCTTTCTTGTTGGTGTTTCTAAAGAAAAGAATCAGAAATCAATCTTTCTACTAATGTAAATTTGAGATTATTTTTAAAAATGGAATAAAAGAGGTTTTGGTCATTTGCTTTATTTTATTATCTTATTTTAAAGCTACTGTGACTGATAGCATTGTAAGAATTGGGACAATATTGTATTCAACTGTTTTATTTTTTATATTTTTAAAATTTAAAGTATAATTAGTTTTTATAATTTTCATCAGATTTTTGTTATATTTTTTGGAAGTGAAACTTTTAGCAAGTGGGTGTCTAGTTTTTACTAATCCCTAATGTTTTTTTCCCCAGTGTATTGCTCATATTATCAGAAGGAAAAGTTATTTAAGTATGTCAGTTAATTGTACTACTTGGCTGAATTTCCATATAGTTTTTACTGTGTATGGGGAGGTTGTAGTATTTATTATAGCATTTTAAATAAGGGTAATTCATTTTTTATTAAAGTCATTTTCACGTTAAGTTCCTATTTTTGTATGTTCTACTCTTAAGTTATATAACACAGTTCCTTTTTAAAAAGAGTTCATTTGTTGAAGTGCTAGTGGAAAATTAATGTTATTAAATAGTTTGCAAATGACTATTTATACCAGTATGCATATAATTTTTAAATATTTGTAATGTGAGATGTTGAATGAATAAAACTTTTAACTCAGCTTTCTTTTAATATACTTATTTATTTTCAACATAAGTAGGTTATGCTTCCATGGTTGGGAAAATAACGTTTTATAAATATTAAGAATATATTCCTGGGCCATGACAGAACGAGCGGTCAGGAACGATGCCCGGTCACGTGAGCACTGCTGGTGAGCGCGCACAGCCATGCGGGCCCGTGAATGTCAGTTCCCACGCTGCCCCGAGCAGGTCTTCTCATCGGGAGTCTGGAGTGTGTTTCGAGGCCTTAGCCCAGGATCTGCTTCAGGCCAACTGTCCAGGAACAGTGAGGGAGCAGGTGTTTGCTGGGGGAGGTCAGTGTCCAGGAGGTTGACAAAGGGCCTTTGTGAATGGAGAATCTGGGTTTCTGCCAAGCTCCCCGAGGCCCCTGGTTAGCAAGTCTCCTTTGACTTTCAGTTCCTCCCTAGATCCTAAGGTCATAGGGCGTGGCCTTGGAGATTCTCACCTCTATGCCACGTGAGTTGAAAGTCTTATCTTTGTTTTGGTTCAGTAATTGTGGGCTGCCGAGTGCTGTCATGTGTCAGTATTTCTATTTCACGCTGCATTTTCAAACTTTTAACAGAAAGTACCACACTGGGAAATTTGGCCCCGTTTTGCCAA